TTCTACTTGTAATTGTAATTCAAATAAAAATAATATTATTTCATGTAATAAAAGAACTTTTCAATCAGATCAAAAAACTCGACATTGTGAAATCTGTGGGAGTACATCACATATCGCATCAAATAAAAGATGTTCTGGAAAAAAACAAAAAATTTTTTATTAATATTATTAATTATAAATTTATTGATCTCTCAAATACATGCAATTTGTAGAGTATGTGGATTACCTGGTCATAATCGTAAAACATGTTCAACACGATATGGTGCTATGATCCCATATAATCCTAATAATGTTTTAACTCCTCAAAATTATATGATGTTTCAAGATTAAAATGAAGAATTCCATAGGCAACAAATATAATAGTTAGAAAACATCCATCAGAAGGTAGAGCATGTAGTCATTGCGGAGCATTGGGACATACAAATAGAATGTGTTTTTTAAGAAGATTTAATCATAATGTTATAAATGTAGTTGGTATAAGAAAATTTATTAAAAAATATTTTGAAAATCCAAAATCAAGATTAACATTTTGTAGTTGTTGTGGTGAAATTGGTCATAATAAAAGAAGCTGTAGGGTATATGGTAGAGGTGCAGATGCAGCTAATTGCATAACACAAAATCATTTAAGAGTAATTAAAAGTGGAATAAAAAAATTTAAAAAAGAATACAATATGGGAGGACGTATAATTCCAAAATTCATACTTTCTTAAAAAAAAAAAATCTTTTAATATATTAAATAAATGAATTTAATAAAAATAAAAATATTATATTTATCATTATTAATAAATTTTGTGAAATGTCAATTTGTTTATTATTATCCATATTTTAATAATATACCTTATCAGTATGTAAATATACCATTTCAACAACAATATATGAAAATACCACAACAACCATTTATTTTTTATAATCAAAATATTCCTAAAATACCAAAAATTCCTAGAGTACCAAAAATACCAAAAAGACCTAGAATTCCAAATTATATTGCTGCATGTGGTTGTTGTGGTAATGAAAATCATAATCGATATGATCCTCAATGTCCATTTCAAAATAGATTAATACAATCATGTTTAAATCCTAGGTTAATAAAATCAATTAGAGAATTGAGATTATGGTATATTAAAATAATAGACCAGTACCACAAAATATTGGGATTGGATTACAACTAGCAAGACCAAATCAACCACCTCCTATACCACCTAGACCACTACCAATTTCTCCAAGACCTAAAAATAATGGTAATAGAAATAATAATATTCTACTTAATGGAATAGGTTTACAAAATTTACAAAATCAATTTCAACAACATGATCAAAAATTAGTTAATTTAATTAGACAATCAGAAATCCAATTAGAAACTATATTAGATCATATGAATAGAAATATTAACACTCATTATACAAGAACAAATGATAATATTTTTAATCGTTTTAATCAATTAAACCAAAAAATGATGACAATTGGTAAAACATTAGATAATAATGGACAAAATATTAATCAAATTGGTAATAATATAAATCTAAGACTTAATAATTTAGATAGAAATATTAACAATTGGTTTGGAAGAATTAATGATAATATTATTAATATGAATCAGAGATTTGATATTCTTGGTACAACATTAAATAATAATTTTGGTAAAATAAATACTAATATCGATAATACAAACCAACAAATTAATACAAATTTTAGAGATTTCAATCAAAGAATTAATAATTTAGATCAAAGTAATCAAAGACTTAATATTGAATTTAATAATTTATTTCAAAGAATCAATAACAATAATCAAGAGATAGGAAATTCTAAAAATCGTTTTAATGAACAAATAGATAATATTAATCAAAATATTCGTAATATAAATTTTAATAATATACATTTAGATAATTATTTACCAAATTTAGAAAATTTATACACTCAATTAATAACAAGAAATAATAACAATTTTGAAGAATTATTAAATAATCTTCAAAATGATATTAGAACTATAAATTTAAATAATGAACGTTTACAACAATA